CAAGGCTATGGGTTCGGATCCCGTATAAGGATGGCCGGTTTGCTCACTGGGTGAACGTAGTGCTGACAACACCAAGTCAAGGGTTAAGATCCCCTTACCGGTCATCTTTTCTTAAAAATAAAAAAAAAAGAATCCCCCCATGCACCAAAGATTCCCCACCGATGACCTACTGACATCAGGAAAAGTATGTACCATGATATTTTTATGCACATTGTGTAAACCTCTGTAAACACATTGTCTTCTTTGTATTTCTTTGCAGGAAGTTCAGAAAAAAGTGTCTCTTTTTAGTCTGCAGATGGAACTAAGCGCGTTAATTCCTGGTCTAGTGTCTACGTTCATACTCTTGTCTAATAGTGATCACCACGGCCGAAAATTCCCCATGGTTTTGTCTTCTATTGGTGCTCTTGCAACCAGCATTTGGCTCTGTTTGCTTTCTTATTTTGCCTTTCCATTACAGTTTTTGATTGTATCTACCTTCATTGGTGCATTTTGTGGCAATTTTACCACATTTTGGGGAGCTTGCTTTGCCTACATAGTTGATCAGTGTAAAGAACACAAACAGAAAACAATTCGAATAGCTATAGTTGACTTTATACTTGGACTTGTTACGGGACTAACAGGACTGTCATCTGGCTATTTTATTAGAGAACTAGGTTTTATGTGGTCGTTTTTAATTATTGCTGCGGCTCTTACTGTTAACTTGATCTATATTTTATTTTTTCTCGGTGATCCAATGAAAGAGTCTTCATCTCAGAAGGTCACTATGTCATGTAATGAAGGCCTTAAAAACCTATTTTACCGAACTTACAGGCTTTTTACAAATGCTTCTCATAAGTCTTTGCTCTGCTTGTTATTTTTTACACTGATCACTTATTTTTTTGTAATAATTGGCGTTGCCCCAATTTTTATCCTTTATGAATTGAATTCACCACTCTGCTGGGATGAAGTTTTTATAGGTTATGGATCAGCTTTGGGTAGTGTCTCTTTTTTGAGTAGTTTCCTAGGAATATGGGGCTTTTCTTATTGTATGGAAGATATTTATATGGCCTTCATTGGAATTTTTACCACCATGGCAGGAATGGCTATGACTGCTTTTGCCAGGACAACACCAATGATGCTTTTAGGTGAGTTACAAATGTAGCCTTAGAACCTACTATGTATTTGATGTTTATATAAAATGAATTTAGTCTGCTGGGGGAGAAACTTTAATATCAAGCTCTCTAACCCATTCTAGTTCAATTAAAGGTAAAAAGCTAGTTTGCCAGAAGCCAATAAGCTAAAAGCCAAATTTGCTTTAAAAAATTAAATCACTGAATAAATATAATTTTCCATATTTGCATATTTGCCAAAAAATTGTTTTGAGAAATATTCTTATGAATCAGTTCTTCAATATAGTGTTCATCAAAATGAACATTTCTTTTTTTTTTTTTTTTAAAAAAAGATGACCGGTAAGGGGATCTTAACCCTTGACTTGGTGTTGTCAGCACCACGCTCAGCCAGTGAGCAAACCGGCCATCCCTATATGGGATCTGAACCCGGGGCCTTGGTGTTATCAGCACCGCACTCCCGAGTGAGCCACGGGCCGGCCCAAAATGAACATTTCTTAAAATGCTGTCAAAAAGACTACATTCCATAAAAATATTTAGATTTATAAGAAAAATTCATATTCATTAAGTATAGTCAAGAAGAAAATTCTTCAAGACAGGTTTTACAAATTGATCTTTCAGCAAATTGGTCATTTCATGATTGACTTTTGATGAATTCCTGTTTGGCAAATTGGACTGCTTCCTTGACTACCGACTTCATAACTGCTTTTTGGGTTTGAGTGAGATACTGCATTGGAAAGGGCTATGGAACTGTAGTGGGACCTTTCCACAGTGGAAGTGTTAACCCCTTGCTTCCTGGCAGGGAAGCAGTGTGAACAAGCAGAATTGGGCTTAATTTCCATCTATAGGTGATCTTGAGAAAATTACTTTTCTCTGAGTCTTCATTTTTTCACTTATAAAATGGGCATATTAGTACCTCATTCACAGGTTATAATGAGTATTATAACGCACTTAGCACAATGCTACTATTTTTAAAATGCCCATTTTTCTTCCTGTTTCCCTGAGAGCTGCCAAGGCCAAGTAAGTTAATATCTGTGAAAATACTCTGAAAACTTTAAAGTGATGTGTAAATGTAATGTATTACTATTTTATGACATATCTAAAAACCTTACTATTAAGGGTCATAGTTTAAGACCAGAAGCAATTTGTGTTCATGAAGTTATTCAGCCACAAAGATAAACAAGCAAGAGGATAAAGAACCAGTTTACCAATAAATGAATCAACATAATAAAAGAATGTTAACAAAAGAATGCCAAGTCTGAAAAAGCAAAAATCAAAATCAAAAAATAATTAGTAGTCACAAGTTGCTAAATAAGAGATTACTACATAATTAGGAAAATAGGAAAATCAGTTTCAGTTGGCAGATTGTGTAGATCTGGACCTAAAACTCTGAACTCTTGTTTCCCTGAATTCTTGTTTTTAGTACTGGAATAAGACTTCTAAAGTAACCTTAACCTGACCTATCCATAGTCTATTTTAATTCATTAGGCAGAATTCCACAATTAATTAATATAATCATTAGGTACATTAGAGTTAGAATGCTCATAGTAAATGAAATATTTAGACAGAAAGAAAGAGTTTCACGTTGAAAACTGACCGTTCATTTTCCGACCTAGCCAGTGATTTGCAGTCTTCTCTGTCCCAGTCAGGGTGCCGTTCTTTTTCAATATTCTGCCGCTCTCTGTTCTACGGTCCATGTTGTCCAAAGTGGTTCGCTCTACTGAACAAGGTGAGTTACATTTGTTTAAGGGATATAACGATCCATTTTTGATCCGTGTTTGATGCTTCAGTTTGTTTTGCAGCCCTTTTTCTGCATTGATCTCCATGCGTTAAGTGGTAAGCTCCATTAGGAAGAGGCTTACACTCGGGCATGGGAGCCTCTACCTGAGGGCTCACTCTGGCCTAGCTCTGGCCGAGCCCCACCCCAAGTGGAGAAGAGAGCTCAGGACCAAACAGACATGCCCACTAGGAGCCCACAAAACCCCTCCCCTTGTAGACTGCACTCTGGCTACCTGGGTCCCCATAATTCTCAGCCCAGACGCTGGGCTCTGGGCTCCTGTCCTGTGAGTGTCTGGATTATCCTTTTCCTCAGCCCCTTCCCCCGAGGGTGGACTGTGCCCCAATGTGCTCACCTTTAGACCAAAGGGGAAGCCAAGTGGTGAGTCTTTATAGGAGGTCCTGGCCCAACTTTGGAATTGCAGAGCAGAGTGTCTACACCTACTTATAAATGACCAGGATGAGCAGGATGGAGCAAGGGTTAGAACAGAGCGGAAGTGGGCTGCAGGCCAGGGACTGGGGCCCAAGAGCCAGCTCTCCCAGTGCTGTCATGGTCCTACATGGAACTCTTAAAAAGCCTGAGAATTCTAAGTTTGTGTCTGGCCTTTCAGACAGTTACAAAGGTATATTTCCCACAGTAGGGAGACTGAACATATTTTAGTCAACAGTCTGTTAGCCAGATTTATAACTTTTAAATACTTAGAATAGAATATGTACGCCTCTAATTATACTCATATTCTTACTCTGGGTCTCACAAGTGTTACTGCTGGGCCTGAATCAGAGTCCTTGCAGGAAACAGGATTCCACTCAGCTGGTTCAAATCAAAAGATTTTCATGAAGGGGAAGGGCGTTATAGAGGACGGACAGCGTGGAGGCAGCCAGAGAGATGCCCCAAATAGGGAAGGAGCAGAGAATAAACAACTTAACCTTTTTCTCCTCCTTCATCCCTTTGACCAAGTACAATCAGAAGTTGGGCCAGCAAGGAAGTGCAAGTCCCATACTCTGTGGGCCAGCCTCTCCAGCACAGAGCAGGGCACAGAAGGTCAAACAGTTGAAGAGCAGTCAGAGAATAACCAGTGCAGAAGGACGACAGCAGATAAATGTCTAGTAGAACTAGTTACTAGTTAGATATTAGGGATATGGGGTTGTCCTCCTACCCTGTCATACCATGTGAATATTATTAGACTTTGGCACTTTCATTTGTTCCATAGCTTAGCCAGGTGCAATGTTCTTATTTGATTATTTACAAGTAATTCCTAATTATGCTATTTATTGCCAGCTTAGTCAACACTGTGGAAGACTGCATAATTCAATAAATTAAAAAATTTATTTCTTGATTCGTTTCCACTCATAAAATGTAGCTGTACATTCACACAGCTGATTATAGATTATGCAATGATGATTACCTGGAAAATCACTTAGGAATATAAATATCTGTGACTGTACTATGTAACGATCTATGACTGCATAATCCAAGAAAGCAGTGGTTTCTTAGATTTGACACCAAAAGCACAACTTAAGAAAAAAATAAATAAATTAGATTTTGTCTAAAAACTTCAAAGTTTGTCCTTTGAAAAGCTTTTGTGCCTCAGAGGACACCATGAAGAAAGTTTAACACCAAGGTCAAGGGTTCAGATCCCCTTACAGATCAGCCGCCAAAAAAAAATAAATAAATTTTTTTTAAAAAGATGAGAAACTCAATTGAACTTATTTAATCCTGTTTATCTGACAACCATTAAATACGTTGAACGGCTCAGAGAAATTCAGCAACAAGCTGAAGTTATTTCATAATTGCCTGTTTGTATCAGAACAGATGGCACATGGCTGACCTAGTTTCCGTTAAGAATGGATTAAAGCTCATATAATAGAACTAGTACTGTGCAGTCTGTCCTCCATAGCGCTAGTCCTGGCTGTAGCAAGGGATCACAAATAAAATAATAATGTAGTTAGACAAATAGGAAAACTTCCTTCCAATTAAACTGACTTAATGTGTTATCATAAATCATGAAGGCAGAAAGTCTGTATGCTACTTGATGATTGATAAGTAGGTTCCTGAATTAAGTTTTTTTTCACTTATTTGACATATATTTATTAAATGTCTACTGTTCACCAGGACAGCTGGGCCTGGGGGAAACAGCAGTGAGCAAAGCAGGTGTGGACTTGGCATTGACAGAGCTTTCATTTTAGTCAAAAGACACGTAACCACACTATATTTTGTATAAATAGATTTATGTTTTATGAATGTATGTCCTATCATTCAATGAAAAATTTGAAGCAATGAGAATATATATAGTAGAATGGAAAGGTCTAAATAGATAAAAATCAATACAGTCTCTAAAAGATCAAGATTATAGCAAAAATTAGAATACAGACTTGTAAACCAGAACCTAGCTATGAAAGGTAATTCTCGAGCTTTGCTTTTTCTTCCTATCAGTCCAAACAAACACAACTATTTACATGATGTGCATTGTCTATAAGAAAAATGCATTGCAGGACAGGCTGGTTAGCTCAGTTGGCTAGAGCGTAGCCTTATAACACCAAGGTCACGGTTCGGGTTCCCACCAGCCACAAAAAAACAAGAAAAATGCATTGCAGTTTACCATGGAAAAGTAGACTTGGCGAAGTAAGAAGCAAACGCAAGGGCTTGATGAAACCATCTGCAGAGACCAGAAACTACACAGTAACTTAGACTGAGGAGGTCATGTTGAGCTGATGAAAATGGTCACAAAATTTGTGTCTAGTGATGCAAAATTTGGTCGAAAGGAAGAAAAATACATCAAGATGGCTGGCCTGTCTTTTGGAGGTTTAACTCTTCAGTCAACTTGGTGTTGGATTCCAGACAGAACTAAACAGTGGTAGAATGATATCCATTTCTCTCTGATTGCAAGCTTGGACTGACCATGCAGTCCCTTCACGCTTCATGACAATACCAAGTGGCCTACTCTTTACCAGTCTTGGTGTACAGCAAGTGTGACTGTGGAAGAATCCGCATTCCTCTTAACCTTGTAAGGCACCTCAGAGCAGAAGCAGCTGCAAGTGAGTAAGATAGAAAAATATGTTCTAAAAAATCACTTAACATAAGACGGTGGCATAAATGTTCAGTAGAGCACAGGATAGTTAGCTTAAAGAGTCAAACATGCAGGAATCTAGAGGTGACTGGATTTTTTTTCACTTTGGAGGAAGGGATAAAATTTAAATTGCAGAGTGTATGATAAGAACCTCCTCGTCTCTCCTTGCCTGCAGCTGTCACTCTTTGCTAGAACTGAGAAGCAGATGAAAAAGATTTCTTTACCTTTCAAAAGGCCCTTGGAGGGGAGCATGGCTGCCTATACAGTGTATCACAGATTAGCATAGAGAACTGGGAATCAGGGGTAGGTGTGCCTTTGCCTGAGGCTTAGTTTTCAAATGAGTCAGCTGCTGTTGCCTCTTTAGATTTGCCCTGTGGACTATGGAACTCAGCTATTTATTTATCTATTTATTTATTTTTAGTTTTTTCAACAGATCTCACATGAAGTCCAAGGAGAATGCTTGCCTCAATTTCTTCATCTGCAAAATGGGTCACTGACTTCTCAGGGATTTTGAAGGAATAATTTTCATTCATCCAGCAGTGCCCCTAAGTTTGCTGTTTTCATTGAAAAATAATTTTCAACATTAGTTTTATTTGTAATTCATCCTTTTCTTTTTCTCCCTTCATATCTCTACCTAAAACAGGTATCCTGTTTGCTTGTATTGCATTCTTAGAAACTCTTGGTGTAGTCACTGCAGTTTCTACTTTTAATGGGATTTATTCAGCCACTGTTTCTTGGTACCCTGGCTTCACGTTTCTGCTGTCTGCTGGTCTATTACTAATTCCAGCAATCAGTCTATGGTATGTAATTATTTTTAACCACTTTATTAAAGCGCGGTTAGATTAAGTGAATTCCTTAACCCTACCAGTTACATAGATCTGTTGAAATTTTGCCTCAGAATGTGTTTTTCGTGAGAACATTTGGACATGAAGACATTTATCAATAATTTTGGAGTCTAAGATAGAAACAATGACATGCTGACCAGAACTAGGAGGAAGAAAAATTGGATTAGAGACCCTGGGAAGTTACCCCCTGCCTCTTACTATGATTTTCAAGAGTATAATAATCCCTGATGGTCAAAGATTGCTGTAATAAGATTTACTTTATATGGATTCTTGGGTAAATGACAAAGCAGATAGAATACACAGAATAGTAAGAGTTCTCCTTCCATAGAGTTGGCTTGTTTAATGACTCCTTTTTAAATGTAAATATTCAAATAAATACAATATACAATATTCTGTTTATTAATAGTACATATAATGGAGACCAGAGGTGTAAACATAAAAGAAATATTTATTTCTTCTTTTGCCTTGCAATTAACAAAAAGCGTGAGCCAACTAGATAAGTCCCTAAAATGCTCAAGCAAATACATCTGACACATTCTGTGGGGCCAAAGCATTGAGCTAAGAGATCATTAACTTGTCTCTGCTGACCACCGAGCTTTGTCGATTTCACATGGCTGGTGAAATCAGCATAGCATGGTGGTAGGAATCAAGGGAAAGTGGGTCACCAGGAGCCAGGCTTTCTCTGTTTTCCTAAGCACTTTGGGGTGAGTGAGTAAGGGGAAAGAAAGTTACCTAACAAGCACAGGCTTTAAGTCTTTTGCCAAGATTGTGAACTCCTGGTCTTATTCACAGTAGGAGCTCAGTTCACACTGTCTCAATTGAATTTGGCTATCTAGAGCTGTGTCAGAGTACAATAGTATTTTTTGG